GTGAACACATTAAGTGCCCTCACTCTAAATATGGGTATGGATGTTTGGAAAAGCTAACAATCTTTCCTTCAGTTCCATATATGAGGACATAAAACCTTTTTATCTTTTAACCTTTAACCTTTTTTAAAAAAATGTATCTCCTCCGACTTCAGTTGCACCTTCATCGGGAATCAGGACACGTATGAGACGCACCTGGAGGTGTGTAAGTTCGAGGGGCTGAAGGAGTTTCTCCAGCAGACGGATGACAGATTCCATGAGATGCAGGTGACACTGGCGCAGAAGGACCAGGACATCTCGTTCCTGCGCTCCATGCTGGGCAAACTCTCTGAGAAACTAGACCAGCTGGAGAAGAACTTGGAACTCAAGTTCGGTGAGGAAACTAACTCGTAACTACTTGCAGTTTTTAGGCCAAAACATGCATGAATGTTCATTTTGTTGGGCTTTTCTTGTGCTAATATGGCAGATGTGCTGGATGAGAACCAGAGTAAACTCAGTGAAGATCTGATGGAGTTCAGACGAGATGCTTCCATGCTGAATGTTTGTCTATTTTCACTCTGGTTTTCACCAAATCAAGATGTACAACTGTGGTGATTTAGTATTAAGAGCCTTCTAACCCATCCCTCCTTTTGCAGGATGAACTGTCTCACATCAATGCCAGGCTCAATATGGGTATACTGGGCTGTGAGTGTCTCTTCCTCGTTTATACTCCTACTTTCTGTGAGGATAATGAGATATGTCATTGTCTGACTGTATGAAATGTTTTGTAGCCTACGACCCCCAGCAGATCTTCAAATGCAAGGGTACTTTTGTGGGACACCAGGGTCCAGTGTGGTGTTTGTGTGTCTACTCTACTGGTGATCTTCTCTTTAGTGGGTCATCAGATAAGTCCATCAAGGTAATTTAACCTCCCATCAGCTTTCTGTTGCTTTGGTTTATGTGCATCCCTCTTCATTTGTATAAATTGTCTGTACTTCTATGCTCCACATAGGTTTGGGACACATGCACCACATATAAGTGCCAGAAGACCCTTGAGGGCCATGATGGCATAGTGTTGGCATTGTGCATTCAGGGGTAAGCATTTTGAGGGTTTTGAACTGACATGAATATTTAAACAAATAAAAAATATATAAATATATTGTTAATTGTTATAAATATGAGCAATGTTACAAATAAATGTTTAGGTGTTCAAGAAGTATTATTTTTTTTAATTTTATTTTTTATTTCAGGTTTATCAAAAAAAATTACACAAATGAACTGTAAAAATAAAAAAAATAAATGAACAAATTGACAATGGAAGGGATTGTGAAAGTAAAATGGGTTGCAGATGTCTTTTCATGTTCTTTTCTCCTTTCTGTTGCAGAAACAAGCTTTACAGTGGCTCAGCTGACTGCACCATTATTGTGAGTGTTCCTGAAATACATTTTTCAGAGGAATCATACTGTTCATGACATGGTCAATGTGCATCTAATGCGGACATGTGCTTGTTCTCCTACAGGTTTGGGATATTCAGACCCTGCAGAAAGTGAACACCATCCGGGCACATGACAACCCAGTGTGCACTCTGGTGTCCTCACACAACATGCTATTCAGCGGCTCTCTCAAAGCCATTAAGGTCAGTGGCGTCTGTTGAAGAGATGATGTGCGTGTCTACAGACACAAGCCCAATCAAGCAGCTAATATTGAGCTTTATTCTGCCCCATTTGCTGATGTGCACGTTAGCTGTGTACGGTTTTCCTAAAGTGATGTGGAGGATGCGATCGGTGCTCCAGCAGAGTAGAGAAAAGCACAGACTTAAGTTACTGAGGCACGAGTGGAGCAGAATTAGATCCACTTGGCTCTGAGAGTCCGTCTGAAGAGCACATGCTGAGCTCGTATCACCATGGTGATGTGTGGGAGGAATGAGGAAGTGGAGGCTTAAAAGTAGAATGATCTCATCTCCCTGGGACGTTCCAGTTTACCAATTCTAAGTGTTCTTCAAGTGATTGGAGCTCTTTCCCTCTCATTCTCTCTCCCTCTGTAGGTGTGGGATATTGTGGGCACAGAGCTGAAGCTAAAGAAGGAACTAACTGGTTTGAATCACTGGGTTCGAGCTCTGGTCGCTTCTCAGAATCATCTGTACAGCGGGTCTTATCAAACCATAAAGGTTAGAAGTGTTAAACTTTGAACTGCTTCAGGAACGCCCAGATTTCATCATAAAGGACCATATACATGTTGAATAATGATGGTCCGCTTTCTTATCCAGTCATGCTCATAAGTTTACATATCCCTTTTCTCATAAGTTTACATACTCCTTGCAGCATCTTAAAAATTAAGGTATATAGCGTAATGTATTCCGTGATTCTGTCCTCATTTTTAAATGGCCCTGTTTATTTATTTATTTATTTATTTATATATATATATATATATATATATATTATAAAAATAATCTTGAAACAGTTACATTAGAGTTTCAGATTTGAAGCTGTTTTCATTAGTTCCTTTACTTTTCAGTCTTAACTGGTAAAAAGAGAGCAGTTCTCTGAGTTGTTTGTAAAACCAGATAAGACCGACCAAAGCTGCTTGTTGTCTCAAGTTGCCTAATTATTGGCGTTTTTCCACTGCATGGTACGGCACGGTACGGCTCGGTACAGTACCGTTACCAAAACGTGACGTGTAAACTCTGCTGATCACGGAGTGGCCGGAGAGAATCGTCACTACCAGAGATCTCTGACAGGAAGCTGACTACAGACTGCTACAAATGCTCACAGAGAGAGAACAAATAAATAGAAACGCTCCTCCATCACTGTAGAGTGCAACAGTGACCACCGCTATTTTAGCAAACTATGTGGACTAATTCTCATTCATTGCTTCCATAGTGATTTAAAAAAATAATTATAGAGAGTTAAAGTAATGAACCAAACAAAATAACTCTGAGATTAATCACATTACAACCTTTAATTTGAACAAAAAGTACTTTTTGAAAAATGAAGGGAAAAAAGGTTAAAAAAAAAAAAAAACAGTGTGACAGATGGTAATGAGCTACACAGCCCGTAAAAGCATTGTGAAAGATGCAATAAAAATGTTGTGCAATATAAACTATTAACTTATAGTCATTGATCACGAGTACAGAATACAAAATATATTGTTGAATATTGAAATGTATACAAATATTCAAGTTTTAAATTGAGAGTGTAGGGAGACTGACTCGATTACATCATTCACGTTCCACTTTTTTTGCACTCTTCTCATTTCATTTTCATGGAAACAATGACTTCTCTAATTGGTTAGTATATATATAAATATGTATTTATTTATTTTTTTGGACATTCTTTTAAAGGGGGGGGTTCACAGTTTTTTTTTCTAGGCTTAATTGTTTATGGGGTGCAGTCTAACATGTGTTAATGCTTCGTTTTTAAAAAAACACATTATTTTTCACATAATTTACCTTTATTCCACACAGCTCTGTCCCTTCTCTGAGAAACGCACTGATCATTTCCTCCTTTTATGAAGCCCCTCCCTCAGAAATAGGCGATGGGCTCTGATTGGTTAGCTAGCCCAGTGTGTTGTGATTGGCTAAACCGTCTCTAGTGCGCGTCTAATCGTCCCGCCCCTCACCTCAGCAGCATGTGCTGTTGTATTGTAAACAATGGCGTCGTTAATATCACTTATCAGTTTGAGCCCGATTGAGAAGCAGAGGATATTATTGAATACTCCATTGCAGTCACCAATCACCATATAGTTTGTGGCACCTACGAGAACCTTATTCATGTGAGTAGTATTAATCTCTTACGCCCTGCAGAGCTTTAAATGATCATGGAAACCTGAAAATGTCAGGACATTGTTAAAATTGTGATTTCTCCTCTTTCCCTGTGAATAAGGTTTGGGACATTGAGTCCAAAGAGCAGGTGCGGACGCTGACGGGCCACGTGGGCACAGTGTATGCCCTGGCCGTCATCTCAACCCCCGATCAGACCAAAGTGTTCAGTGCCTCCTATGATCGCTCCCTTAGGGTAAGGACAAGGCTTGGGTTTGGGGTATGAAGTATGGGGATTTGTGCCACCTCTTTTGGGCACTGATTGTTGTACCTGTGCAGGTGTGGAGCATGGACAACATGATCTGCACCCAGACTCTGCTGCGGCACCAGGGCAGCGTGACGGCACTCGCCGTGTCCAGAGGAAGACTCTTCTCTGGAGCTGTAGACAGCACTGTAAAGGTCAGAGACTCGCACAATGAGTTCGGGGATGCTGCTTTCAAACTGTAGCTTGCCAAGATATGGGCTACCTCTTTGTACTTTAAATGATGTGTACACAAATGTTCAAACGTTTGTGGTCGGTAAGACTTAAACAATGTTTTTGAAAGAAGTCTCTTAATGCTCACAGAGTCTGCATTTATTTGATCAAATACAGTGGGTACGGAAAGTATTCAGACCCCCTTAAATTTTTCACTCTTTGTTATATTGCAGCCATTTGCTAAAATCAATATTGTGAAATATTATTACAGTTTTAACTGTTTTATATTTTAAAATGTAATTTATTTCTGTGATTATTTCTGTGATGATGAATTTTCAGCATCATTAAGGTCCTTCATATATGAACAGATTTTTACGTGCACCTCTAGTTTTCTCTTCCTCTTCTCTAAAGCCGAGAATTTTCTTGT